GAGGCCGCAGTCACCATCGCCTATGAGGCCCAAGCCCGCATCAGGGACCCCGTCTATGGCTGTGTGGCTCACATTTTCGCCTTGCAACAACAGGTAAAATAAATTAAAAATGTTGTTTTAATTTTTCCTAAATCTAAAATCTTAAAATATCTTAAATAACAAAAAGAAATATTCAAAATGTCACTCAAAATATCAAACGAATACACCCATTAATTAGTTTAAGTTTTAATTTCAATTATTTTTCCATTTAAAATGAATCGCGAAAGGTGGCTTATCTACAAGCCCAACTGATGCGAGCCAAGGACCAACTGGCCCAAATCCTGTTGATCGACCACTCATCGCGAAGCGTAGAGAGCCATTGGCCAGTCGAGCCCGCTGCACCGGGCCTCATGGGATCTCCATCTCCATTTCAGTTCCCTAACTATACTAACACGTCGCCTCAAAGCTCGATCGACTCAATTAACGACCAAGAAATCCAAAGTCGAGACGAGTACTTAGTCGACGAGAGAAGAGCTTCACGAACTGACCTAAGCGAGCTCCAGGCCCTGGCGCTTAGAATGATGAACGGTTGAAAGTTAAAGCTGACTTTGAAAACAACCCGTCGACTCCTTTAGCTTAATTACACATGAACCCCAATTGCCTTTAGGAATTACAAATATACATGTATCGTACGTGTGTTTTACTGTTGGATCAACACACTTATATATATATAGGTGTGTATGTGAGCATGAGTGATCGAACAGTAAAAAAATTCGACGATCAGGGCAGTGTCATCATCCGTAGGATCATATCCATCCTCATGAGAAGGTTATTTTGTATTTGTAAGATAATTACCAAAATCTCGAGTGCATACGTATTTGTAATTTAAAGGATAAATGGGGATTTTCTATCATTAGAATAAATTTAAGGTTGTTTTTGTAATAAATTTAAGGTAGTTTTTTTTTTTTTTAACTATTTACATGCTTAACGTCATGTCACAACATGGTCGATAATTTTGATTTTGATCCTTCGTGAGGCCAGTGCCTTCATCAGAGTTTTTACCGTTAGATTAACATATACCCATACATGTGGATATATATAAATGTGAATGTATGCATTCAACGGTGAAAAATTCGATAAAAACAAAGAACTTATTTATTTATTTTTCTTTTTTTTATTGTACATAACAAGGAGTACTTGGGAGCATTATAATTAGTGGAGTTTCATGTTGTACTAAAGCCTGTAAAATTGGATTTTTACCTATCATGTGATGAAAGTAGTAATTATGTACCTTAATTATTGCGGATTAACGAGTTTTTTTAATCAATTTTTGAAGTTAATTAGTGGCCTAGCTAGACCTAGTAATTGATGTTAAACTCTCTTAATTTGCACTAATTCAATACTTAAACATTTTTCCAAGAATTGTGTATGGTTAATTAAGTCTATACATTCCTTAGAAATTTATTAAAGTCCAGTTTCATGATTATATATAGGGGAGATGCTACGCTTCCGTTACATCTATTATCCCGACGGTTATATGATGATCTAACGATTACAAACTCGGAGAGAATGGTTCCGTAACAGAACATTAGCATTTCTCTAGTTTAAGTAAGTCAATTGATTGTTTGTTCATATCTAGTTTGGCATTTAATCATGTCCCATGGTGCATGTCATTTTCCATTAATATAATATAACGAAGATTCCCTTAATCTTTTCTCTTTAATCAGAATTTATTTGGTTGTTTCAGCTTTACTCGTCAGTAGTTTTGTAGCTTAACTTTAATTTAATCAGGTAATTAATGTGCTAATTAATTTATTTTGAACTACAGTTTGCCAACATTACCCATTTCATTTGTTAGAAAAAATAGTGATTGTTAGAAATGAATATTATAAGAAAATAAAAAATGAAAGAAAATAGTGAAACATTTGATGTTATTAACTAATTTGAGCCAAACCAAACTGAGTAGCTCATGTTTCGAGGTCGTGCTCGTTTAATAAACGAGTCAGATCGACTTGCTTAAGCTCGTGAAAGTTCGGTTCGGCTCAGCTCAACTGTTTAATGAAACTAAAATTTTAAATAGGTTGTTTACAGACTCGAAACGCAAATAAAAAAACAAATTTGTCTCAACCGTTTCATTAAAAAAATTAATACCTATAGAAAATACTAATGAATTCTTTGCGAACACTACAAAAAATTTGTTATATTCTAACGAAAAATCATATGGTAATATATTCCAATTAAAATTCCAACGGATATACCAATATATAGCTTCCGTTAGAATCATTCCAATGGAAATATTCCGATGGAATGTGTTTTTCATTGGAATTTTAGATGGAATTTGAATGATTCCAACGAAATTTTAAACGGAATTACGTTGCAATGAGTTTTTCATTGGAATTTAGATGGAACTTTATCATTCCAACGGTCATATTCCAATGATTTTTAACCGTAGTAATTTCTGTTGGAATATACAATTTCTGTGGGAATTTTTAGTTTTACCCATCTTTCAATCGTTGGAATCTTCAACATTCGACGAAAATTCAAAAAAAACTCATTCCAACAGAATTTTTTTTTTTTTTTTTTTTTTNNNTTTTTTTTTTTTTTTGAATTTTCGTTGGAATTCACTGAAAAATTCCAACGAAAATAATTGAATTGAAATATCCATTGGAATTGTCGTTGAAATTCAATTGAAATATATTTCCGTTGGAATTTAATTTTTATTGGAATTTCATTACATTCTTGTAGTGGTTATTAAACAATTGATTGTATGAAAACAAGATAAGTAATATAATTCTAATTAAATCAAGAAAAAAAAATGTTTTCTTGAATTCTTCACTCAAAGAGATTTTGCCAATGATTATTCTAAACGCATTGGACCTTAAATTAAAATGACAAAAATTCTTAGGACTGTAATATGAAATCACCATTATTGATTGATTAAGTTCATTATTTGTACCATATAAGTTACATCATTATATACAAACATATTACGTATTAAATGACTTAGAGATGGAATAATTACGTCACGACAATAATTCTAAAGATAAAAGGCCCACAAGAAATTTTTAAATAGAAACCTTGGAATTTGAGTTACAATTTGTTACTTGTCGTTTATAACTTGTCGTTTAATTTAATTTAATTTAAATAATATAGGAAATATAATTCATGCATTATTGAGGTACGTTTGAAAACTCTCTTGTCGTTTTCCAGTGGGTCAAGAAACATGTTCATACTTGATGGTACAAGATATACAGGACGTTTTTAAATGGCGGCATGTATACTTCGACGTGGCTCATGGATACGTCTCCTTTGCTCCAACGCCTACAAAATAGAACCACGGGGTTCTTCTCAGAGGTAGATCTTCCGTTACCTAAGTCAGAGACAATTTTAGAATTAGAGTGGTGATTGTAGAGTGAGTATAAAAGAGAGTGTGGCCTTACAATATTGTCTTACATGGAAGACCTAAGTCATTCGACTTCTATAAAATGATGACCTAGGTCAAGGTAGGGCGACACACTCCCTCCTACTCACTCTATAGCCATTACTCTAAAACCTAAAACCGATTCTAACTTAGGCATCGGAGAATCTATCCCTGGAGACAACCCCGGGGTTCTGTTTTGCAGGCGTCGGAGTAAAGGAGGACGCTGGAGCACACATCGCCGTCGCGTGTCTTCGGACTAACATCAGGTATTTCTTGTATCATCAATATTGTTTAAATGTGGCTTAATTAGTTTCAATTCAAAAGGTTAAGTAAAAAATAGGGATGTGACTTTAGGGTTAGAAATTTTGGTCACTATACATGAATTTTGGTTCCAAGTCATGTCTCTATATATATAGTCTCTATTACAATAAATAAATAAAATTAAGTAGTCTCATAACTTTATGGATGTATCCAAAGTAATTTGTTGCAATTCGATTAACTAATTGGACGAAGATTGATACATCGGGCACATTTCATTATTTTCAAGCCAGGATATTCATATTCTTTGCGAGAATATCTTTAATTTGACTAATTTAAAATGTTATTATATAATTATTAATTGATTCCAATTGAATTAAATTTGTCAAAAAGTTGTTCTTAAACTAATACTATATCCATACATGCAACAAAACTTTTTCCACTCTAACAAAAAAAAAAAATAAAAAAATATGATCATTTATTAAAGAACAAAAAGAAATAACTTCAACGGTAATGCTACAGTCCCACTACGGAGTCATTCCGTCGAGACTTGTAACCGTTAGATTATCATGTAACTGTCGTGAATAGTTGATCTAACGGTTACAAACTCCGACGAAATAGTTCCGCAACAAGACTTTTGCATCAAATGTAATCAGGAACAAGAATATCCATATCTTTTGATTACTAATTATAACATTGATTTTATGAATCATTTATTTATTTAAAAAAAATAAAAAATAAGTGGAATAAAATAAAACAAAA